AGTGAGCCCCCCCTCGGTCTCCCTCAGAAACTGCCTCTCCGGCAGCTGGCTGCCCGGTTCCTGGACCCTCAGCAGATGGCCTCTCAGCACACGGCCCCTCGGCAGGAAACCCCTCAGCAGCTCATCCCACAGCAGGCGCAGGGCCTCCGCGTTTGCTCCGTGTGTGGGGCTTCTTACAATTGCACCAGCTCGCTGAGAGCGCACTTCCGTATTCACACCGGGGAGAAGCCGTACCCCTGCACTCTCTGTCCCATGCGCTTCCGATTCAAAGGAGATCTGAATATGCACATCCGGAGGCATGCGGGCGAGAAGCCCTTCTGCTGCGAGCACTGCAACCGGAGTTTCCTTAGGAAAGTGGATTTGCGCAAGCATTTGCTTCGGCACACGGGGGAGAAGCCTTTCGGATGCGAGCTCTGTCCCTATCGCTGTCGCAAGAGGGCCTGCTTAGTCTTCCACGTGGAGGAAAAGCACCCAGAGGCACTGTTACAATAACGGCTTCTCTCCGGGTAAATACTGTAGTTAACTTTTCAAAACATTTGTAGTGATATAAAAGATCCAAGTTCTGTGTATCATTTTTATTTTTAAAAAAATCGTTGTTAATTAATTAAATATTTATTCCTTTGGTGTAAGGGAATCTTCGGTCTAGGGTCAGGGAGGGTAATAAATGCACACCTCCGAAGTGGGTAAGAAATGCACACTCGATTTTCGATCGTTTTGACAGGAAAACACTTATATCATTTGAAAGCTCGTGATTTCAACTCTCTGGTGATCTAATTCGTTCTAAACTAACGCACCTCTTTGTTTTTAAAAATTAATCCGGAAAAGAGGCCTTAAAATCATGCCTAAAAACTTTCCTAAAGTGACGTTGAAAATTCTATCAATACTCCATTCAAAATGTTCTTACGGAACAACCCAAGGGTTTACTAACAGTTTGAAGTCCCCTGAATCTGATAGGGTGTACAGATTTTCAAATTTTGAAGCCGTCTTTTAACTATTAACGTTTGAATAGAACGTCTAATAAATGCACACCCGTGAAGCTAAGAAATGCACACCCTGCGGGTAATAAATGCACGGACTTTTCTGCAATTCTGAAGGAGAACGGGACCATATTTCCAAAACAAAAACCTCTCTGAATTCGGTCTTAATTTGTAATATTATCATATGTGACATGTGATACCAGATTTAGATTCCTTATAACCTTATAGAAATGACTAAATTAGGTCCTAATTCTTAAAATGATCACTTTGAAAATCCAAGATCAGATTCTGATTCATCTCGAAAAGTTAAGAAAGAAATGTTATATGCTTGGAAGCGATCCGAGTTGAAATGGTGAAGCTATTGACCGCCCTAAGTAGCTCAAACAGCAAAAGTGCACTCGGTCGCACTCGGTACATTTGGACACCCATAACTTCTCCATTTCGATTCGGATCGTCTTGTGGCATAAAACACTTTCGTCTTATTTTGTCAAAATATATCAATTCATGTCATAAAATCTTACTTTTTATCGATTTCTATTTAGTTTTAGGCCTGTGCATTACTTACCCGCAGGTGTGCATTTTTTAGCCACAGGGAGGGGAAGAAATGCACACTGTTTTTTCCTTATTATCACGAAACGATCAACTTTTCGGACTGTTTCTCTCAATGAAATTGTGCTGTGATTAAGTTTTCATTTTTCTGCATACCCAAGACCATCATCAACAGCTTATTTTGGCTGAAAACGAGAAAGATTCGTTTTTGTGCATTTATTACCCACCCTGACCCTATTTTTCTACACACCCTTTTTGTCTGA